TTTTAGGCTTCGCCACACATCACTCTATTGAGTTATTGAGGCCCCAGCCCACGCGAAGTCCCTGTACCAGAAATGTGCTTTCACGATCAGTATCACTATACTCTCACTGTTATCAGTTATATCATTTGAATGATTGTTGAGGATTGCGAAGACTAAAAGATGAAACACGTTAGCCCACCTTGAAATCCTGGAGTTGCAGGCGCAGGCGGGGCTCTGCGCAGCACATGGCCTGCACATCACAGAGAGAGAGAGAGAGAGAGGTGTGTGTGTGTGTGTGTTAAGAAGAGCAATATTAGCAATCATATAATAATACCAATGTAACCACACAGTACTAATCATAATAAATTTCCCACCCACCTCGACTATTAACACTGCAGGGAACACTAGATATATTAACAAATTGAGAAAGTCAACACCTCCCAGGAAAACTGGAAGGTTACGAAAAATGTTAAAGCCTAGAAAGCAGTTTCCATTTGGAGGATCTCTTCTCTGCAAACCAGAGCAACTTGTTCACTTCGCTAGAAACAAACGAGTTAAAAAGGATGATTGATACAGCAATACAGCCTATGTAACACATCACAAGTATTGGATCGCATAGTAACTTCCCTTCATATGATGAATAGCCTATGATAAGTCCATTCCCTCACTACTGGTCACCTCAAAGAACAAGCAATACTCAAATGTTCCTCACCTATATGTCCCCTAAAGCCCTTGATAACCCGTTCTGAGCACGACCTCTCCAAAGGGCCCTGGAAACCTTAGCAAATCCTCAAACGCATTATAAGTTTCAGTATCAACTGCAAACCCACTTGCGCGGGAAAACAAAAATCATCTGACGTCATGTTCTGGGTGCTTGACCGACCAAACCCTAGCTCAGACTTCAACATACAGATCCAGGAGTGCGGCATTTAATTGGTAGCGCCATCAGAAGCCAGGGTGTAGCTCAAGCTATGATTTCCATCCAGTCTGACAGCATAAGGTTTCTGGGCCATACTAGAAGCACTCGGAATTCTTGTTGAAGGAGCCTGCTTGGGGATTATGAGGAGGTTCTGTCTTATCATTCTTCTAATACCATTATGACCATTGCTATTGTTATCACTGCTGTTATTACTAGTGTTATTGATTGCTGTTATACATGCTGCGAATGAAAAGACTGTTACCGTTTGAGTTGAAGGAGTTCTTATAAAAGAGATTCTGGTTAATCATGAGTTGTTGAAAGGGATTATCATTATCAGGTGTGTGTTTCCAGAACCATGCGTCTTATTGGGCAGCTTATAAGGAAAGAGAGGCGAGTAAGTTCATGAAACCTTAAACGTGCCGCTTGCACTTGCGTGTAACGCTTGGAACTAAGATTGTTATCATCATTACGACTTGTGTTACTATGAATACTACTACTACTACTACTACTACTACTATCCTTACTATGACTATACTTGATGTTTTTCAATATTATCTTATGGCCACCTGGATGAGGTCGACGCAATCTGGCAGGAGCTCAGGGCGAAGTCGCGAACATTCGATGCCCTTCCTCAGCGAGCTTGTGGCATGGAGCTGAATATACACATAAACAATAACATAGCAATACTGCTAGAAATGACAAAAATCATAATAATAACTGTGAACATAGAAAACTAGCAATGACACAATAACATCATAACGCAAGAACAAGAGTCGCAATAAAAGTGGAATATCCGCCAAGATGGCAAGCCGACCAACATGTGCGCGACTGTCGGATCTAGCATTTCCAGACTCAAGTCTTGCGGGCCAGCCCCAACCTCTCAGGACTGCCAATATCACTATCTTAATGAAAACTTAAAGCGCAACACGCACGCAACAAAACAAAAATTGGAAGCAGGGCATGGATGTGTGCAGCACAGACCTGACAGCACGGGCGACTAATGCACGCCGCAGTGACACTCCGGGAAGTTTCGGACATACTGCTTGCATCTGGAGGCCCAGAAGATCCACACCATGCCCCTCCCCATGTCTGGCGTGATTCGAGCGGCCTTTGGCCAGCACAAAATGTACCAGTACCTTGTTGACGCACTGACGGAAACTGGTCACACCCCTGCCCTCCTCTCCACACAGCACCATCTTGGGCCTCTTGATGAACATTAATCTTTAATTGATCCTTGGATTGTTCCCCGAACAGCATACTAACACTATACGGTTCTGATTTTCAAAATGAAGAAACAGCACTCTTGTCTTGAAGGTACTCAGGGCGCAACAGCACTCGAGCTTCAATCTTCTCGGACGACACCCTGGTGCAAAGCAAGCACGGCATGGAGACACGCGATGAGGATTGGTCAGTCAACTAAGCATCCATCAGTTTTCCGCGCACAGGGCCCAGCGCGAAGAAAGGAGTGTATCCGTTCCTCATGAAGGTGAACTGACTATGGATCGAAAGGCTGAGTGTTTGCAATGCGCACGCGCTGCTCTACACGGTGAGGCACTGGCATCAGCTCGAAGAGTAGCACTCCCACCTGCCACCGGTCAACAGCAATCGTATAGCCAAACCTCAAATATCCAATGGGTTGGGAAACAAACAAACAACGCGGTGCGTGCTGAGCCCTTCACTCCATGATCATTTCTGGTGCCGTGTACTCGGGTGTCCCGATCACGGTGTCAGTCTGGCGACCAAACATGTTCAACGAAGTAGAAACTGTCAACTCAAACAAACACACCGCCACTGGCCTGGCCCACAGAGAACTTTGCAATGCCCATGTCCGTCATCTGTCACCATGCTTGCTGTGGCACTCGTTGCGACTAGGTGCCAAACATGGATTACGAGCTTAATGACCTCTTTCGGTGATCAGGAGGTTCTCGGGCTTGATGTCCCTGCAAAATCTTTGTGGATTAGGCTGGCAAAATGTAAAAAAAAAAAAAAAAAAA